TTTGGTTGTCCAAGATTGTACCGTGATTGGACCCAGCTTTTCATGCTTAGTACTCTACTGAAACGAGGAGTGACCTGTCAGGGGTCTCCCAGAGCGGTTGTAGTCACCTGTGTCCAGGGAGGAATAAATAGACGGTGCTGTAAAACAGGTCTGTCAGTGGTTCTCAACCTTCCTAATGCCGTGACCCTTTAATACAGTTCTTCATGTGGTGATGACCACCCAACCATAACATTATTTTTTTCCCCATAACATTATTTTCATTGCTACTTCATAACTGTAATTTTGCTACTGTTATGAGTCGTAATATAAATATATGATATGCAAGATGTATTTTCATTGTTACAAATTGAACATAATTACAGCATAGTGATTAATCACAAAACAATATGTAATTATATATTGTGAAATATTTCTTTCTAATGACAAATAAATGAAATTTTGTCAGGTAGCATAGGTAACAGTCTTCAGGCCGGGAACTTGTATGTGGGCCTATCTGCTTGTGGGCGGACTCTCCGGGAGACAGATAGAGGAGCGGTGTCTTGGTTCCTAAGACCATCAGATATATGTGTTTTCCGATGGTCATAGGCAACCCCTGTGAAAGGGATGACCCACCGGTTGAGAACCGCTGGTCTCAACCGCTGCTACCTCTGCAGCAGTAGGGTTGATTTGCTTAAAGACAGGAAATGTGATCCCAGTGGATATTTGAGTCAATGAGTTCAATAGCCACTGCCCATTTTCCCTTTTAAGTAAGATCTACAGTGGCTAGCCTACAGAATGGTGGTGGCATTTTGAGATTGGGTAGAGAAAGGGAAATACTAAAGAAATGCTCCTGGTAACAAATCTTTGCTTCCAAGCCCAACAAATCTCTGTTTAATTGGGATTTTAGAAATCTTTGATGAGTAACTGAGGCACCCTAGGGGGTCTTTTCCCCTTTGATTATTTTAAGAACTGCCTTTAACTTGAAAAGAGGTTTTTGAGATTTTTGCAACCTCTAGGGTTTACCAGCTCTCTTTCAGAACATTGTCTGGTTTGTGTGTCAATTGACCCAAGTTCAGTGCTGAATTTCATTATACTGTGAGGTGCTTATTATAGTAACAAATAATTTGTAGTGAAATAATTACACTTTATAGTAAAAAGAAAACCCTGAAATATTCCATTTTGATGATCTGTGGATGTCAGCTGTTAAATCTGTGTATGAATGCTACTTATTAAATTGATCCTAGGTTGGGCCATGCAGGCTGCTGCTTATATTTTCATTCAAAGGAAATGGAAAGATGACAAGAGCCATTTTGAAGACATGATTGACTATTTTTGTCACATCCGAGAACCTCTTCAGCTCCTCATATTCCCAGAAGGGACCGATCTCACAGGTAAGATACCTGGGATTGGATCACCAAATTTTAACGCATGAAGTAACTCAGAAGTTATGCAATCGAAATTTATTTCTTAGGTAAAGTAATTCAGTAACCCACCCTTAGGTCCCTTGGTTAATCTGGAGTATGTGTATAAGCCGAGTTTTTCAGCACATTTTTAATGCAGTTTTTGTGGGAAAATTAGGTGCCTCAGCTGATATTCGGGTCAGCTTATACTCGAGTATATACGGTGAATACGTTAAATGGTGTTTTATATAAGGTGGTTAGGGGAAACCTGCCTGTTAAGTTTTACGTAGAGATCAAATGAAGAAATTGGAATTGAGTTAACAGCAGTGAAGTTGCTTTTCTGAGCCAAAACCGACAAACTATGCAGACATCTGGGCGGATGGCATTCTGGGAATAGGAAACAGCTCCTCTCCTTGTGGAATGCCTGGCTTGTTGAGAAAAGCCCAGCGGCCGGGCCCCCTGGGGTGGAAGGCATGCTGGAGTCGGAGTGTGACAGGAGCACACTAATACAAGGCGTTCTCATCAGAGCGTGGGATGCACCCACAGTTACCGATGTGAGCAAGGTAGCTGTGTAGATGAAGTGCGGTTGAATGGAAACATATTTCTAGTTATTCGGTATCATTATTTCTGCCTTCACCTATTGTGGCTATACTTTTTAGAACTACTTCATCAAGGGAGCTTTAAAAAGAAGTTTGTGGAAAAATGGAATTAAAAGATAAGGGAATTTTCCCCTGAACTTTTTGAAAAGTCCTTTATACAGTTTTCACATTCTGTAGCAGAATTCCATTTTTTGTCTTCAAAATCCCCTAAACCCACAAACTAGAAGAGCAGATTGAAGTGCATTTAATTATTACTCATCTCTGTGGCGTCCCTGTGATTCCTCATCCCCATGTAAGATGCGCTCAGCTGTCTATAAAATATGACTCTGTAGTCCCATGCCCATAACATTCTCAAAGGTGACAATGTGTAGGGCCTTTTCTTTTTACTTGCTTGGGATCGGTGGCTATTTTTAATTCTTTGATTCAGTTTCCTCAACTATAAAATGATGCCACACCTTTTATGGGAATGCTCTTCGAATTATTTTAATGCTTATCCCAGGAGCTTCAACAAAGGTTGTGGAAAAACTCAATGACGTGGTAATGGACTTTTCCCCATGAGATTTCTGAAGTCCCTGCATGTTTTTGAGATGGTAAGGCCTCAGTGAGCTCACCTTTACATCTAGGAAAATCGTGCTTATATAGGTACTGTCCTTCCCTCCTTTTTCCCAAACAGAAGAGTTTATTTTGTATAGGTGCTTTTCTTATGGACGTTAGGATGCAGCTGAGGAAGGCAGGTTCTAACGTCTGCTGTCATCAGAAGCTGTTTCATGATCTCCAGCAACTGAGGCCAAATAATTTCTGAACACTTTACTTTTTCCAAATATATTTGCTGAATAATGGGTTTGGTTCTTCTTGGAACTTATAAAGTTACCTCATGGGATGGAAAAAGAAGTTTTTGCCAGCACTTGGAACATATACTTGACTCTGTAACTATATTCAGCCAAACCATGTTCAGATGTTTGTACGTGATGTGCTAATCATGTGCCTGTTCTGTTGTGGAGAGGTTCGAGTTAGCAATATTAGCATGTTCTATGCCTGTGCGAGGCAACTATTCCACTTTGCCTTAAAGGCCTAAGTTACTGGGTTTAAAAAAAATGTTAATCTGATATACAGTATTTAGCAATTGCTGATAATTTCCTCTGGATATCTAGATCCTTATGTTTCCTTTTATTAGCATTCTATATTATAGTATCTCAATTTTTATCATGTAAGAACTATTTTATGAAAATATTTACTAGTATTTAATTTGCATTTTGATTTTCATTATGTACTGACAGTTTTCTGAAGTCTTTTAATGAATTTCAAAGGCGTAAATAAATTTCCAACCACTATTAATAATTTTTAAAAATTTTCTCAATAAACAACCCTTGGATCTTTTTAGGGGACCAACTGAAAGGCTTCTGTCTTCTGTTTTGACTCAATGGATAGTATTCAATAATTGTAGAACAGTTACTTGCCATTTTTATCACAGAAAACTATTTAATTTGTATTTTGTCTTCTCATGTCCTATTGTTTTGCTTAGAAAACAGCAAGGCCCGAAGTAATGATTTTGCTGAGCAGAATGGACTTCAGAAGTATGAATATGTCTTACACCCAAGAACGACCGGCTTTACTTTTGTAGTAGACCGTCTACGAGAAGGTAAGCATCCATCTCAAAATACAATTTTTATACTTGTGGCAAGAGTTGCTAGCCTTTCTTCACAACGCTTTAGAATTTATAGTGTCTACTTTATCTCAAGAAATAAGAATTTAACTCTGTTTTTATACTAAGTTGACCACATGCACTGAAGTGGTTCACTGTGTATCGTTCAGAAATATAAATATCTTTGTACAAGAAGAGATTTCTTCCTCTTTATTCTTTTTTCATTTGAACAATCAAAAAGTAATACATGCAATTTGACTGTGGTGCACTTTAAAAAAAAATCATTTTATTGGGGCTCATATACCTTTTATCACAATCTGTACATCCATCCATTGTGTCAAGCACATGTGTACATTTGTTGCCATCATCATTCTCAAAACATTTCCATTCTACTTGAGCCCTTGGTATCAGCTCCTCATTTTTCTTCTTCCTCCGTGCCCCCCTCCCTCATGAACCCTTGATAATTTATAAATTATTATCATTAACTGTGGTGTGCTTTTTAAATGTTTCTCCACCTCTGGTGACAGAGTGGGTTACACAATGACTTGCTGATGGAAAGTTAGCCTTATGTAGCCAGCAGGTTGCTTCTTGAGGGAAAGGTGAGGCTGCCTGCTCCCCGTAATGACTTAATGTCTTGGAAACCCAACAGAGCAGGTCTCTTCCAGCTTAGAAGGGTCTCTGTGAGTCACAAGCCACTCGATGGCACTGGGTTTAGTTTGGGTTTTTGTTTTTACCCTTAGCAAAGCAGCAAAACTGCATTGAAAATATTTTCTCATTTATACCCATAGTGCATTTGGCTCTTAGAATTTGAGACTTTATCATTATTTCCTTTAGTTTGTTATAGTTCTTTATAACATGAAATGTAGCTTGACATTCATGATTCCATTGGTCTCCATTTAGTAGGAAGGCAAGCCCACAGGTGACAGTGTTGGGTCTACAACCTCATTCTACGTCCTCATGTGTACGCTCATAATACTAGTGCAGTGCACTTCCTCCCTTCTCTACTGAAGGTCATGTGAAGACAAGGTGACCCATTGAAGGCAACACATCCATTGAAATGTTTGTTTTCATATTTTTGTTACGTGCAAAAACAATTGTTCTTTGTATCATAGCTCTGCATATTTATATGTTCACACAGAGGCTTCAAAAAATTAACAGAAAAATTTCATTGTCTTTTAAATTCCATTTTCCCATGACCTTTTTGAAGCCCCCATCATCTTTATCTGTAGGCATGTGTGTACCTAAACACATACATTGCTCTATGTGAAGGAGGAATCAGCTAGAACATTGCTGGAATTTTATTAATTTGATAAAACAATTCAAAGCCTAGAGTTACCTAGCAGAACAATCTTGTTCACATGGCTTCTCTCTCCATTCTGATTCCTAGCAAGAACATTATGTAACGGTGCCATCTGTGACAAATTAGTGCATTCGTCTGGTAATTTCTAAGCAGTCATAAAACGACTTGTGCCTAATGTGAAAGTTCTTGAGCCATTAAGTAAGAAAAAGTATAAAGTTTTTACTTCTTTCCTTAAATGGCATCACTTTTATTCCTGTAAGGTTTGATGTGCTTTATAGAGTAGCACTCAGTTAATAAACCTTCTCAGGATAAAGCTTCTTTAAAACTAACTCCTCATGACTTTGAAGAAATGTCCATGATAAAAATCACACGACTATGGTGTCTTAGTTATCTAGTGCCACTATAGCAGAAATACCACAAGTTGGTTGCTTTAGCCAATAAGTGAGGGGCATCAAAAAGTTTATAGAAATATTCCCTTATATTTCATTTTCACATTTCACTGACCGTTTGAAGCCCCTCTCTATTTATTTTCTTTGTTTAGGAGAAAACAAACTTAGTTTAGCCATCTGTAGTCCAGCCACCAGCTGTTGGGGAAGGTGGTCTGTCCAGTCCCATCTCCTCCGACCTCACCACCCATTCCCCGCCCCCATCCGCTCTGAGAATCCTGCTCTGATCCCTGGTTCCATGGTGATCTCCATATGATAGGCCCTTTCCCCCAGTCTTCCCTCATGTTACATCTCAAAAGTGATTGGCTTAAAACACAGATGTGCTTTGTTGTGGCTTCCTTAGCATCTAAGAATGTCCTGCTCCCAAATAGAATTATCCCCACAAGTAAAAGGGTTAGCATTTACAACAAACTTAATCCATAACATATGGTAATCCAAATCTATTTTCATAATTTAGTTGACTTTTGAATTTCTGTGTTTATCAATAGCATTAGATGACCTTTGTGACTTGACAGTCTTCTTGTGTGAATGGCCATGTACCAATGTAAGACCATGGGAACACAGTGCTTATGGAATAGGGTAGATTTTTAAAAAAGAAACAAACAGGTTTATCGGGACACAATGATATCATCCACATATACAATTCATTTTTTCAATCATATAAAGAAGAGTTGTACAGTTATTACCACAGTCATTTTCTTTCCGAGCAGCTTATACTCTCTTATTATTCAATCATAAATGTTTTTTATTTCCTCATAAAATGATATTTCATAGTATTTAATGATTTATTTAAAGGGATTTTCCAACATCTGGAACACATTCATCCACTTATCTTTCTGGTAATGAAGTTTTTAACAGACAGATAAGCAGTTGGAACACATCTTTTTGTTAATCAAGATTTTCCTCTCCACTGAGCAGAGTCGTTGGGAGACTGTTGCACAGTGGATAAGGCCAGCCATGCAGACCTCTGTGTTCTGCATCTTGGACATAGAGCAGCAGTGAACCGCTTTACAACTGTGAGGAAGGTGTATTGCTTCTCACTCAGGGCACTAGTCAACATCCACCAGATGTGATTTTTCCTGCCAGAACTTTGAACTGATTTCTACTCTGTATATGATTACAAAACAGTTAAATGACTCAAATTTATTTTCGTTAGACAAATAGAGTGAGACCTGGATACTATAATAATAAAAATAAGAACTATGGTAATCATGGCAGTAATAGCAGCTAGACTCTGGGGGCTGCTAACCCCAGAGGGTCAGCAGTTCAAAACTACCACCAGCTCCTCGGGAGAAAGATGAATCTGTGTGCTTCCATAAAGATTTAGTGTGGGAACCCTTGTCAAGAGCTCCATCTGCTCGGTGCCCATGGGCTTGGGTTTTACTAGTTATTGAGCATCTGCTAACTCACAAGCATTCTACTAAGTGCTTTGTGTGGATAAGATTGATTATGCCTCATTATACCTCCAAGTGGTGGTCACCATGGTTGAGGCTTAACATGGAGGTCAAAACTAGAGAAGTTCATCGGAATTAACTGGCATCGTTTCTCTGACTGGGTAGCCCATGCTCTCTTACTTACTATAACTTTTACTGCATGTTTGCAGTATAATTTCAGTTAACGAAAAACATTTAGATCATCAAGCTGTGTAGCAGCAGTGAGCTGGGTGTTCGCTGTTCTGTTCAGACAAGCAAGCCAGGCAGCCAGAGAGAGAGGGATTGATGCCCCCCACCCCAGCCCCCCAAGGCTCTGCTGCTGAGGCCACTTGCAGAGCAAGCTGCAGACGCTGCAGCAGGAGGGCGGGGCCACCCTGCTTCCAGAGGTGGCCAGTCAACAGGGAGAGGTTTCTCTGCGCTCCGTGGTAAAGAGGATCACGAAGGTCATCTGTGAGTCCTCCATGTCCTTTAGGAAAAGCAGCTCAGGAGCGCCCAGAACTGCTGTCTGGTCTGTGGTCTCATGAGATCTGCTCTGGAGAATATATTGTAAGAGAAGGAAGCTTACTGTTGAAACAAAAAAATTAAGAAAAACATTCCAGTGGACTCGTGGGGGCCATATTAAAATACATGATTATAAAGTTCATGTCTGTCTGCCCAAACCTGTAACTGAATTCAGCACAGCTGCCACCTGTTAGGTAGCGGCTGAGGAGGTTAAGGACGCAGGAGACTTTCCGGATATCAAGAAGTAAAGGGTACAGTTTACTAGGGTGCTTTGTAGAGCTGGAAGTGCAAAACAAGGAAAGTCTATTTTGTGCCTGTTGAGCATATAGTCCTTCTTGATTCAGAATATTTAGAAAACAAGTTTAACACCCATTCTTTACCATATAAATACGTTGTTCTTGTAATGACCATTGTAAATAATTGACCAGGTGCCTTGATTTGTATCATTTGCTTACACTCCTAGTGGATGGTTTCTTGAGGCTGTGTGATGTCCTGCACACAGCAGAGACACAGCAGTCGTTTAGAAGGCACACACATGCACGTGGGCAGTGAGACCAGCAGAGTGTCCTAGCATGTTCTTCGAGCATCATGCATTACACAGAAAAGTATCTGTCTACGTTAGACACATATATAACTCTAATCACAGGGCATTTCAGTTGTGATCATGAACTTGTTCTTTTCTCGCATTGGATCACCTAAAGGATAGAGACTTCTGTGTTGGAAAGGTCTTTATTTTGTTTAAATCACATAGATATTAATAAAGTTACCCTGCAGTTTTGAATGTTAACTGCACTAAAATTATTTGTATTTATTATGATCTTCATTGCTTCACCACTTTTAAGAATAGCTTTAGTCTTGTTTTATTTGAAATTAATAATGATTTTGTCCACCAATTATTTGATTTTTGTTACACCTTTTACAAGCAAATATAACCCAATTGTAACCATGCAATAATTATTTTCACCAGTAGGCGGCGAAAATGTGCACATTTGAAGCAACCTGAAATTAGGTTCAAGTACCTTAGTTAGAGACTGGGAATAATAATAAAACCCTTCATATTTGCTTGGAGGTGTATCACCTTTAAAACATGACCTTGCCTTAAGAAACTCATAGTCTTCTTGGATAAGAACACACATAGAAAAGCCCTAAGGAATTATATGAGGCAATCAATATATGAAGTAAAAAAATATTCGTGGAAAAATGGAACTGAGAGCCAGTGGAATTTTTCCATGAACTTTTTGAATCCTCCTCATAAAAGTACTAATCTTCGTGGTATGTAGTATATAGCTGTTAAGCTGAATGATTGCAGGAGCATGT